ACTTGAGCCTGCTGCCTACTTGGGTTCCTCTGGCTTTTCACGGGAGATTTACCCCTCCTGCCTTCTGCTGTCACCTCCGAAGGGAAAGGGGGCTAAGGTCAGAAGGGCGCCTTCTCCCCAACACACAGACCTGGCATTAGCTGATCTAAATCACAGGCTTCCTGGGGGAGCATTATCAAGTACACCTACAAATCACTTGGATCCTCGTCTACAATCCTTAATGATGCTAAGCCCCACATCAGAATGAAAGGAAACACTATTGACAATTATAAAATACTAAATATAGCTCAGTACATTTAAAAATGAACAATGGTAAAAGCCTTGAAACATTTTTCTTTGATGTGAATGGAGTCTTTGGCATTTGGAAATACAATAAGATGAATTAATTGCTCCTCATTACATGGCAAGTCAGGAGAAGTATGAATGTGCCTTCTCTCCTCGGCATTAGCTATTGCCTGATCAAAATAGCCCCCTTTTGTATTTAATCCAGCTTTCTCTAATAATAAGCAAATTGGAGATCATGGCTAGAAAAATTCAAGTGCCCTTCATCCTTTCTCCAGAACCCTCATAGAGTTTTGTGATGTTTATCTGCTCAGGGGCTACTGCTAATAATTGCAGAGGTCATGTGAATCCACACAGTGCAAGATTAGAAACAACATCTGCAAAATTACTTCTTTGGGAAGTGTTCTTTATTTTATCTTTTTCTGTAAAAGTGATTTTGAAAGCAAATTGCTGTCTTTCCTCTCTTGCACTATATATTGCTGGAAAAAGTATATCTGGAGAAAAACATTTAATAGGTATCAAGAGTGTTTGAATCCATGATCTTTTTTTTTCTGACTTTATGTATTTTTCCTGATGAAATGGTGGACTTCTACATGAATTAAATAAGTTGGAGTCTTTAAATTCTGAAATGATGGCCCCTGAATAAACTGTTTGAAATATATTGGTTTAGTAGACTGTTCATTAAAATTCCATATGTGACAGCTATGATATTATACATGCAAGCATGTGATTTTTTTATATTCTCTTTACAATTTTTATATATAGTTAATGCCCTCAAATGATGAGATCGTTGATTCCCTCAAATAATCAAAAGCTGAGAGAGCAGAGGAGCAAGAGGAACAAGACTCCCATCTGTTCAGAAACTGATTCATAAAATGTCCTCGAGTTTGAAGAGCACACCACATTTGTGATGTGGCTGCCTTCCTGTCATGTATATTACATGTAGACTTTTTCCAAACATTGTGTACATTTCAACCATTAAAAGGAGGCATTCCATGGAACCCAGAGTTGTAGTGGCAGCATTGCTCTGCTTTATGACATATGAAAACTGTTTACTTAGTAACAATAACAATTTGAAGACTTGGGGCTGAGGAATTTACCCATGACACATCCTGCCAGACCCCATGTGGCCTAGGTAGCGAGGCCATTGATATCATGGTGTGCCAGAAAATGGACAGGGAAAAAAGTTGAATGGGTACTGAGACATGCACCCCAAGCTGGAGTGCTTGGTCTGCCATCATTCTAAGGTCAGGTGGGCCATTTGTTCTTAGCACCCCATCAACAGTCTGACACCCATGTTGCCTGCTCCATAAACATTTTCCACATTCTAGATCATGGGCTTGAGTTAGAGTTCAGCTGGAAAAGGAAGGTTTGCCTTTTAGAAACAACATCTGCTTTCGTGGCCTCATTCTTTGTAATCTTAGGGATAGAGGGACTTAAAAGCAGTAATAACTACTGACTAGTGTGAAGTTGTCCAAACTTTTTCCTAGGACACGTTTTTCTTGTTCATGCATGCTTATGTGTACACATGTACATACTCAGTGTTTCCTGTAATCTAAGACACCATAGGCAATAACTCAGTATTGACTTAAAACAGTTCTTCAAGACAAAACAGTGTGCTCGTCCTTTGTAAATCTTATCCACATCTCAGAAATGTTGGTATGAAAACATTTGAGAGTAAAATTAATATGGAGTACAAAGGTGTAGCACGTATTTTTGAATTTACTTAAGCTTCATATTCGGATAGATTAGTGATACCTCCCCTCACTTCCCCTTTTAGTCTGGGGGTGTGAATGGTGAGGATAGAGAGTGGAATGTTTAAAAGTCCAGGATATATGACTAGAGTGACACAGAGAAGCAATTTACTCAGTTCTGACACTTAGAGTTATAATTTCTTCAAAGCCAGGCATGTACCTCTAGGCTGAAAATGACAGTTTAGAGATCCCTCCATTGAAATCTCTCAGCTTGGCATCCTTCTGTACTCCCATTTTAGGATAAGTGGGTCTACAGCCAGGCTCTCGGTTCTGATTTTGAAATCTCCCTGGCATGGCTTATTATCTGCAGGGTTACTTTGGATTTTAAACAAAAAGTTTTAATCTTTTTGTTTTTCAAATGTGCATCATATATAAAGGGGAGATGTTATAAAATTAAGTGTGTAATCAGAGTGTCTCCAATACAAAAGGCAGGAAATCACTGGTATAGACATTTTAGTCCATTTCCAGAAAATTGCCTATTTTCAAGTAGGTAGGTCAAGTGCAGAAAGAACCTCTACTTGAGGTAAAATTTCCTCTCCACACTTGGCTTTCTGTCTATTAGGCTAGGCGGCTAAAAGCTGCCCAGATTTTAACATTCTGCTCTCTTTTCACTAGTGGTTTTTTGGCTATATGTATTAAGATATATTTGCTTATAATAGAACTTATACTCATAGCTACAAATACTCTTTGAGCCATAAGGGCTTTAGAGAATAAGGCGCAACTCTTTATTTTGGAGAAAATTAGAGAGTGTTAAATGACTTATCCAAGGTAGTACAACCCATTAATGTCAGGCGAAGGCAGGTATAGAAGCGCCAGGTCTCCAGACTCCTAGACAGGTACGCCTTTTCTTCGCAGAGAGCAGGTTGGTGTAGTAGAAGCAGTTGATTTGCTCTTCTGCTTTTGAACTTTTGTTTTTAGTCAGGTACCTCATGGAATGCTGGGTAATAAAAGAGTCAGACTTTATTTAACAAAAGAAAAAGACTATGTTCTGAAGCTGTATGACATAAACAGCACAGTAGCTGGTGACCTTTCTCTTCATTGACTGATTTCCCTCTTAAAAAAGAGAAGTATCAAACTTTCATGAATGTTTCGAAGAACTTTTCAGTCAGCCCAGCGAAGGGAAACATCTCAGGCAACTCTAATAGAATAAGAATGGGCTGTGGAGATGTAGGAAACTCACTTCTACTTGGACCTGGCCTGTCAATTCCTGAGTCACTCTACCCAAGTGTGCACAAATGCACTCCGTATTTGGGTGAGCAGAATTGCCCCTGTCATCAGCATTTCATAAACACAGAACTCTCAGGTCTGAGAAAGGCCCCATGATGTACTTTTGGAATATAGCCAAACCCACAGCTCTGGCAGTTTTTCCTGGATTTGCATCAGCCAGGCAGGCAGGAAGTCTGGGCTGCCATTTTCCCAGCCCCCATAGCGTGGGCCCTAGAGAAGTTGTAAGGCTTGTTCCTTGTTGGGGAAGGAATCTATGGTTATGCCTCTGCCATTACTTACTGTTCAGAATTTGCCTCGAAGGCATTTATAACCTCTCATTAGGGGTTAAGTAGCTTGGGGGCTGGAGTCCAAAGTGACTCATCGAAAGAGAAACCAACAAGTGTGTGTTTGTATCAAGGTATTCTCGACAGAGAGGGAAGCGTGACTGGAACCATGCATTTTGTTTATTATACATGGATTACCCCTGAGAGGGTAATAGGGCAGATGGCAGGGAAAACCATAGGACCAGCAAAGATGAGATTGACTGGTACTGAGATCTGTGAGTGTCGGGTTCAGTTCGGCTTTAGGGCATTTGCACACATCCAGTCAGTTTTTCATAAAATTCCACAGATGTCAAAATTTGTCTTTTTTTCAGGCATCTCGGTATCTGAAATGTTTTGGATCTTTTTTAGAAAAGTTACCAGAAGATGCTAGCTTTAGATTAGAGCATTCACCAGATTAGCAAATGGAGCTTCAATTCAAAGAATGCCATCTGACCAGAGGTGGCAAAAGCCTCATTCTAGTCACCTGTGACCATTCCTTTGGGGACCAGTAAACCTGCAAGGTTCCTCGAGCCTTCGTGGTAGCATTTAGCTATATAGCACATGGCCTTACAGATTCTCATAATGACCATGTGCATCCCCGTAGAGCTGTTCCATGAGGCTCATTATTTTTTCATTTGAGAGGTAGAGAAATGTATAAAAATATTATAAAAGTTTATGAAGTGTTAGGCTCTTTTTCAAGGGTTAATATAAACTTTTTGAAACTTCACATAGTAGTCCTGGCAGGTATGGGGCAAAGCGGTGTCTATACCACTTTAGGAGCACTAAATTGATCTTTCTTAGAAGCCCCTAGTCGTTGTGTTGTAGGCTTTGATTTTTTTTTAATTCTCTTTTCTGCCTTGCCTTTGATACCTCAGCACGTTTATTCATCACTTCTGGGTAAACCTGTAAACAGACACTGAGGCCACCTCAGTGCCTCATCTGAAGTTTCCCTTGACCTTTTATTCACTTTCTGAACTTTGAATAGAAGCTGTGGAGGGCATTCTTTTTATTTCGATGTCACCATTTTGTTCCTGCTTTGATGAAATCTCGGCCAGGTAGATTTATGGACTTTCTACTAGCAGGCAGGAACCTTGACATGTTTACCAAGCATGAAGCCCTGCCTGCATCATCAGGGCCCGTCCCCCACCAGAGGTCCAACCCTTTCTCCATCTGTACTGGAAAAGCCACATAACCAGCTCGAAGGAGTTGGGGGTTGTTTTTATTGTTGCAATTGCTGGTAATTGCCCTTCTAGATAGTTATCTGGGCTATTCTTTCCTCCTAAAATGTGGGGGGGGAAAAAAACCCACACTCCTATACATTTTATTATACCCCAGTATTATGTGTTTGTATACATATATTTTTTTAACTGAAGAAGATAAAAACCCCTGCTTTTGTACGCAATCCTTTTAACAAATTGTTTATTGTTGTATCCAGGTGACAAGCATGGTAAGTATTTCCACCAAAATGAGTATTCTGTATTATAGCTGTGCTTGGCAGACTCTTTGGCTAGCTTTGTGTTACCAGCCTTGGCTTTTCTAGAAAAGACCCATTTAGGAAAAGGAGAAACTACTTACCTGGTGGCATCCCCTGTGTCCTCAGCTACAGAAAGAACCCGTGTAGACTTAGACCTATGGCGGGGATACCTGAGAGAGCATGCACCCCGCCAGCATGCTGCTTGGTCCCATCAGCGCCCCACCTCACCCATCCCCGCTGCTTCTGAGCCTCCCCCACCAGGTGTCTGCCAGGGCTTCCAGGCCTCGCATGACTCCAGCAGCTCCTGGGACTGTGGCTCCTTGACAGCGCACACAGTGAGGACCTCTCTACACTCTAGATGGTCCTACCCCTGATCCACACCCATGCCTCTTCTCTCACCGCCCCGCTCCATCTATATGCTTAAAAGCAGGGCCTTTTTTCCCCCTCTTGAGTGTGTTAAGTAATTGGAGAAATCTCCCTTTAGAAGCTGGAAAAATAAATACATTGTCCACTCTCCTCAGCCGCTTCCCATTCTGTTGGGAAATGGATTAACAAAATTTTTTTTTATAAAACCTTGCCACTGGGTGTTCTCAGTAAATGTTCAGAGTTACAGTAGGTTGAGTGTGTTTTAGCCTTCTGGCTGTGTTTATTTATCTGTGCATGTTTGCTTTTCCAGCCTCTTTTGTGGCTCTGTATTTTAGTCCATGTGCTCGTGGCTGTGCCTGTGTGAGCTGCCTGGTAGCCATGCGTTATATATTAAATCTGTGTGTTACTGTCACCTTCAAGGATCAGACTGCAAAGGATAAGGCCCTTCAGCATATGGCTGCCATGTCATCAGCCCAGATCGTCTCAGCCACTGCCATTCACAACAAGCTGGGGCTGCCTGGGATTCCACGCCCCACCTTCCCGGGGGCTCCGGGGGTGAGTCACAGGCCAGATCCAGAAATGATGGCTCCGAGGGGCGTGGGGTCACCATGGGTCAGCATGAAGCTGTCTGCCTGGTGCTTGTATCTGGGACAGGTGTAAGAGAGGGGAAAGACCACCTTCTGGTGAACTGACGCTGGGTACAAAAAGGTGAAAGAAAGGAAGGAAGAGAGTGAGAGTGTGAGAGAGCGAACGAGAGAGCGAGAGCAAGGGGGTGGGAGGGGAAGAGGATGGGGTCCTTAGTCCCTAAAGACATGGAATTAAGTGTCACTTTTCCAGTGCCCTTCTGGGTTGTGATCTGCTCTTCTGCTGTACCTTTTATCCTGCCCTCGGTCTCTGTTCCTGTGTCTTCAGGGCCACTTTATGACAACTAGCTCCTAAAGGGATAGACATTCTGTTAATTTTCATTTTGTATTTACCAAAGGCTGAGAAGCTTAACATTGTGATCTCATTTAATCCTCATAATAATCTTAAATGCCTCTTATTGTTATTACCATTTTACAGATGAGAAAACTGAGGATACTTAGTAACAGAACAGGGGTTTGGATAACTTCCTAATCATATGGATAGTGATATTAGCACTCAAACTGAGGGTTCTGTGACTTCCTCTACATAGTGCTGCCGCTCCAGACAGGGTTTGGCAGGCACCAAAAGCCTCAGGAAAACTCACAGGAGAGGAGGCATCTGCACCACCTCTTGGAGCTCTCAGCCTCTGGTTCTAGGCTTTGTCCTCTCCCCAGCTGAGCCTTCAGTGCTGTGAGCTGTGGAGGCAGAACATTGCACAGAGAGTGTTTCAAAATGGAGGGAAAAAAAGAAGGATGGTGGGTGCATGGATGGAAGAGTCAGAGAAAATATTTGTGAACCCTCCGTAATGCGCCCAGATCTCTGCCAGGTGTAAGGAGAACACAGAAGCTGCTGCCTGGTCCCTGCCCTCAGGGATTATCTGTAATAGGAGCTAGAGGGAGCCCTGGGTTACCAGACTGAGGACATCGGTTGCGATTTTGCAGGCAGCAGTGACCACACCTACATTTAGGGAAGGTCAGTCTGCAGCTGGTAGGTGGTCTGAACTCCCTCTCTCTAGTAGGGGTTGCAAAGCATAGACATCCTGCACTGTGCTTTGGAATGAACTCATAATCCTGAAGCCTCTTACATTTTGCTTTCTAGTTCTGGCCGGGAATGATACAAACAGGGCAGCCAGGATCCTCACAAGAGTAAGTGTGAAGACAAAGGGCTGGTCACAACCTACCCCGGGTAGTGTTTTCCCAGGACCAGATTGCCTCAGGGCTTGGAGGGGAAAGATTTAACCCAAGATCACCAAAGTCATCCCCCATTGTTATTTGCTGAGGCCAACAGCAGGGAAGAGACTGCTCAGATGCAGGAGAAGTGTAAATACCTCACTCCCACCTTAAGTTTAGTGGTCATCCAGCTGGAACCAGGAAGAGGGTCCCTGTCCCTTAATGGCTCTGAAGGGCAAAGCCTGGGTCTGCCTGAGGGAGAGGGCAGTGGAGGTGATCCTGTAGTCCCTTCTGTTCCGGCTTTCCCTGTGGTAGGGCGGCTAGTAAAAAATCCTACTGTTGCTTCAAGGGCCAAGGAAGCAAGCGCAGTAAACCAGAAGATAAGGGTAGTCAGGGGATGAAAGCAGAAAGGAAATCCTGCCCCTATATTCTCAAAAGCACTTGAACTATTTGGCCTAGAGAAGGAGAACCTGAAGCATGTGCCAAATGTGGCCAGGCCTTAGTCTCTGTGGGACAAGAAGACAGGTTCAGAGGTGTCCAGCTTGTCCCACTAAACTGGCGTGAGGCTCGTTGGTTTGGTCCTTGGCACCCTGCTGGCCCCCCTCAGTTGGAGAGAATAACTGTCTCTGTCTTGGCATAGCTTTGCCCGGGCTGTGCTCCCACCTGTAGGCAGGGAACCTCACAGTGGGGAGGACCCCCACCAGGCCCCTAGCCATGAGAGGCCAAGGCTAGGCCTGGGGAGTAGATGCTGCTGCAGTCACTGTTTCTGATTCTCCATCCTTCTGTCCCCAGCGTCAAGCCCTTCGTGCAGCAGGCCTACCCCATCCAGCCAGCAGTTACAGCCCCCATTCCAGGTGAGTCTCTGTGGGTCTCCCTCTCACTTTGTCCCACAGCTGCATGTACCCCCTTACTTGCAGAGCCATGGATATCCGCTACTTGACCCAACCTTCTTTAAAGCAGAGGTTAGGCTGAAGCTCAGAAGGGTCACAGGAGTGTCCCCTCCCAGGTCCCTGATTCCTCTCAGCCACCTTCTGAGAGCTCTTGAGATGGGTTTTTCAGTGAACAGTAAGCCCGATCACTTTCACTCAGCACCCCGAGTCACCCTTGGAAGGGGAAGTTACTATGGTTCCTTCCTCCTCATTAATAGACTGAATTGGGCAATCTAGGTCCTGAGGGCGGATAAGGGTTTATTACCCTTTCTTAGATAAGTAGGTTTCAATTCCTAGTACCCTTTCTTTAAAGGAAAGCTTACATGGAAACCCAAACTAGAAAATATGTCTGGCCCTCCTTGCTACACACGTGCACGTAGAATTTACAGTGGAGCTGCTCTCCATTATAGGGTTCCCAAACTGAAAATGCTCTCCCCTCTAGTGGAGCATTCTGAGAGAATATTCCATAGTGCTTGTGGCTGCCGTCTTTAGAAGGGAGGTGGACAAACACAAGAAGTGTCTGGCACAAACAGGTCTCACAGGAGAGCTTTGCCAACATTCATTTCTTCTTAGTCACTCTTGCCTTGGTCCCAGCTAGGCCCCTTTGTCTAGGATTAGGTGTCCTCATGCCATAGCCCTTAACCTGAGCTGAAGTTGGCTTTTTGAGGAGCCACATACATTGTGCTTCTCTGGGCCACTGCCTCTGGGATCCTCAGCCAGAATTCCACCCTTACCTAACTTAGTCCCACCCCTAGACTCTGGTGGAGCAGGCTGTTGGCCTTTCCTCCTGGGTCACCCATGTTATAAGGCCCTATCCCAGTACTGGCCCGAGGCCCAAGGGAAGGCACATGGCCAGCATTAAAGGTGACGATTGGTCTTTCAGGGTTTGAGCCTGCGTCAGCCCCAGCTCCCTCGGTCCCTGCCTGGCAAGGCCGCTCCATTGGCACAACCAAACTTCGCCTGGTGGAATTCTCCGCTTTCCTCGAACAGCAGCGAGACCCAGACTCGGTGAGTGTGCTCGGAGGCGTGCCTCAAATCCAGAATTTGCTTCCATTTCCATTTGCCCTCATGCCTGACAAATAACCTTTGTGAACATGGACCGGGGGAAGAATAGCCAAGCATCCTTTCTATTAACTAAAAAGGTATTTCCATTGACAAGTGTAGAACTTGTCAAGTGTAGAACTTCAGAGCTGAATGTTTAGGGATGCTCTGGACCTGAAACTCCAGGGGGTACCAGAGCTGATGGGAAGGACCTTAGAAGCTTGTACATTTGATAAAATTTAACATTTATCGAACCTTGCCACTTGGCTGGTACTGAGCAAAGCTATTTTTATATACAATCACATTTTATCCTCACTCTATAAATATATACATATATACACATATGTATATTATTACATATTATAATATAACATATTGTAATATAATATGATATATTATAAAGGTAGGTGCTGTCTGATAGCAGTTAGAGGTTAAAGTAATTTCCCTAAAGTCACACGGTTAATATCTGATGAAGTAGGGATTTTTAAACTCATGTCTTTAAAACTCAAGCCTAAACATTAAGCCCTTATTCTATACTGCCTTTCCAAGTTGATGTTTTCTCAAGGTAGCAAGTCATTATCTTCTTAAGAAGTAACAAGATGGTACATAGAATGCGATACATTATACTATCATAAATACCAGTAAGGTTGGCATAGGGACTCTGTTGTCTCCCATACCTCATCAAGTGCTCGTCATCCCGTTGTTTCTCAGCCAGGCCCATTGTTTCCCACACATATGTGAGCTTCCCTTCTTTCCCACCCAGCAAGCCTAAGACCCTTTCCTTACTCCCACTCCTTGGCTGTAAGTATGAGGACTCCATCTGTGTGTGGGTGAATCCAATGCAGAAACTGAGGAAATCGCGTTTGTTTTGGGGATCTTCACCAACTCTCTCTCACCCACCCCACTGACCTCCAGGGCCACCAAAAGCACATAGGTGCTGTGCTCTCTGTGTGTCTGCTGCCTTTCTGTTATCAGGAAAACGTGTCATGAATGAGTTCACCATCTGTTGTAAATAACTCAGATACTGAACGATTGCAGGGGACCTCTCCTGTGAGTGTTTGTACTTGAGCTTGGTGGAAAGCCTCTGGTGATAGGATGGGGGCAGACACCGTGGGCAGAGGGGCTTCCACCAGCCATCACCAGAGTGGAGCCCTGAGAACCTTGTGTAGCTCACTGACCTTTCTGTCTATGAATTGTGAATTCTGGGAGCTGGTAGAAAAAATAGAGCCTGCTCCAAACTTAGTGGGGTGGAATGAAGAAAGATGTAAAATAGTTTATTCAGTCCATCGAGGCAGGTATAGGAAAATGAGGTTATTGAAAACATGAAGAGATGCCAGCTGGATCCTTCTTTTCTGGTCGCTGACTGGTTTTATAGGAAGGGTGATGGTGATGGTGAGGGCTTAAATCCTTATCTTTGGGGGCATTGAAATAAACAAGATTACAATATTCTTGATTTTAGGCTGCTGCTTTTTTCGGGAAGGTGTAGATGATTCTTTGGCTGAAGGCTTTTTTGCTTTGGCTTGGATGATGCTTCTGCTTTTTATAACTCATTTGTATAACACTTCATTGCCTATGGAGTACTTTATCATTGATCATTTCCTTCTGTTCTCAGAGGGCCGATGAGATAGATTCTGTTTTTCCCATTTTATAGGTGAAGAAACTGAGGCTCAGACACATTAAATGACTTACTCAAGGTATTTAGCCAATAAGCAGAGGGACCAGGAACCCACATCTTCTGTTTTAATATACACTTTTACACCACTGTAAACTGCCACCAATTATGAAGGTCTCATAAATTGTGCATTCAGTCTGTATATCTCCTGTGTGCACAGATCTTTCCCTTTGCTTGTGACTCTTCTTTTGTTTGTTTGTTTTGTTTTGTTTTTCCCCTGGGAATAGAATTTCAAAGCATTGAGAAGCAAAAGTCCCAAGATGGTCGTTGTTCCCCTGGTTAAATGACTAGAGTATTCATCACAAAAAAGCACATTTAAAAAGCACATTTCAGCCCTCTCATTGTGACTGTCCTCTCTAGTTATGGACCAGTAGGGCCCAGAATGCCCAATTCCTCTTGTTGTTTGTTCGTCGGGAATCACTGGTAGACTCATTCAGTCTGTTCTGTAGTCATTTATGAGCACCTGCAAGGTGCCGTGCTGAGGAGGGGCCCAGTGCTGCACACACAGCCACAGTCTCTGCCCTTGTGGAGTCTAATGTCTAATGAGGAGATACGCACCAAGCAGTAATCACACGAGGTCATTGCGAAGTGTGGTGACTGCTAGGGAGGAAGAATATTGATGCTGTCAGTGACTAATAGGCAACAGGCAGGCTTTCTCGAGGAGTAACCCTTACACTGAGAGGTAGAGAAATGATAAGGCCATCGAAGGAGGAAGAATATTCAGAGGTTGATGACTCTTGAGGTGTTAAAGCAGTAGGTGAAATTGGTAGATAGTTTTAAAGGCAGAGCTCACCAAGTCCTTGGAATACAGTCCAGAGATGTTTCATGTACATTTAGAATTACACATAATCCGAATGATTCAACTGGATTTGGCCATTTCCTGATGAATGAAAAGGCTTGGCTCTATAGATTAAACTCTAGTACATGACTTCAAAAGTGCTGAAATAAATGGAAGGCCTGGAGTGAGTCAACACCCTTGGGCCTCTTGAAAAATAATTATATTTTAGGGAATACAAGTTGGGGCTGAAAGAAATTGGAATTCATTTAACAAATACGTTTTAAACACTGCATGCCAGCCACCGTTTCAGGTGTTAGAGTCAACAATAAAGGAAACTAAGTCCTTTTTCTCATGGAGTCTGTATCCTAGTAGAGAACACAAACAATAACCATCCAAACAAGTAAACACACATACACACAAACACATAAACACGCACACACAGAATGTTAACTGCTTATATGGAATAGCGATCCTTCTTGACAGTCGAGAATTACTTGCTCTTAGATTTAAAAAAGTATAATTTCAGAAAATAATATTTTATATACGTTAATGTTTCTGGCTTGTATTATGGTTTTAAATTATGTCTATCACATAATGCCAATCAAAGCTATATCACTATTGTGAAGTTATTTTACTAAATCATAACATTGATCTCAGTTGTTAATATAGCTTCTAATATTCTTGTGTTACGAACCCTTATTTTTCAATGATAAACAAAGGAGTTTAATGTATACAAATGAATTCAAGGCAGATTGTGAATAGCACATGTATTCGATTTTACTGAAAACGTGAGAGCCTGAAGGATGGTTCTTGTGCTAGAGGAAGCATGGGCTTCTTGGTAAAAAGAAAAGTGATCGACTAATTGAAATGGAAGAGAATTAACAAAATTATTTAAAGCATGTTGACAATATCTGAAGCACCAGCTTCTCAAATTATATAATATGTGCTTTATTTTGCAAACACAAATTGCTATTACAATGACGGTGTAATGGCACTTCAGGACCAAGGTCACACTGAAAAATTGGTAGCATGTGAATGGTTTCTTTGGCTCTCAGACTTTTCACGGCTTCTCAGACTTTAATTTTACTATATTTTTATTACAACTACAGGAAAATTTAAAGTCACCTAAAGTTTATGTGATACATTTAAATTACAAATGTGGACATACTATGCTTAAATTGTAACATAAAACATTAAGCATGTTTTAATTTCATAAGGAAGCCAGCAAAGTGACAAATAATTAAAGGTCCCTAAACAGATACCTTTGTATTTGGATTCTCTAGATCTTTGTCTACATATAGTCATGCACACACATTACTCCCTACTTCTTTGTAATGGTTTATGTTGATTGGAATCATGGGGTTATATATAGCACTTTTAAAAAGCCAACAAATAAATTAATGAGTTGCGTGCAGTGCTGTTTTTTCATAAGTGATTTCTTTTATCCTCATCGCAACCCTGCGAGGTACATAATTCTATTTCGTTCCATGGAAGAGGTGTGTAGAGATTGCTGTCTTACAGCTAGTCAATAGCTGTGGCCAGGTTTGAACACTCTGGCTGTAGTACTTCCCAACAGGAGATAAGGCACAAACACACACTTGGGTAGCAACAAAGCCAAGAGGCGAACCTAGTTTGCCTAAGTCTCCATCCAGGGTGACCTCCCTTCGTTAACCACTGTTCTGGAAATTCACTCTTCAGTTTACCAAATAGGTCATCATTGCCACCACTAAAGACTTTGTGACTCTGCCACCTTTAGCACTACCCGTACTAGTAGTAGTACCAGTAGTGATGATAGCCAACACTGTGCATTATCTTATTTACTCCTCTGACATAGCCTTCCCAGTGTTAGACAGCCAGCTGATATTGGAAATGGGATTCAAATCCAGGTCTGCTGATTCTACATTCTGCGATTGTAACCAAATATTGTATGGTCTATTTGTACCCAATAATAGCCTGTTTTGTAGTGTAGAGCCTGCTGCAATCTATAAGGAGCGAAAAGCAGAATAATCTGGGAGATGCGCGCCCCCTGCTGGCTCTGCATCGTATACAAACCATATGGCAACGTTTCCCCAAGTCAGAGGTTGTTTATGTTGGTGGAGAACCAGCAAGTCAGTCCCTCTGTTACCTTTGGCTCCACTAGAAGCTAAGAGAAAAACAGCAGAGGGTGAAGAAAGGAAGATCTAAAAAACTAAGACTGTTTTAGAAGTGGTTAGTAGTCCTTAAAAATACACTTTCTACATGATTTCAGTGTTGCATATCAAAGGACTTCACATGTTACGTGTAAGATCCTCTCCCCATGGTGGGCTATATAAAAATATCTTGCCGGTAATCAGCACTCAGTTCCTGGAGACTGAATTAGGCAGCTGCTGTTTTAGACAGATGAAAACCTGATCTTGGTGAGCTGTCAACTGAATCCTGTGCGTGCATGGGGAGTGGTTTTCCTGATAAAGCCTAGCGGAATTCCTCTACCCCACCCTGGGATGTGGCAGGTTCCTCCAGCCCCCCACATCTCAGCCA